GCCTCTCCTCCCTTCCCCACCTTGAACTCCGCGATGGTGAGCCCGCGCGGGTACCGCTTCAGGGCCCGGAAGGCGTTGAGGGTGCTGCTGATGGACACCGAGACCACGGCGGGCGTCCCCGTCACGCTCATCCCGGACCGGAGCGAGGCCCTGCCGCTCGCCGCCTTCCTCCGTCTCTGCCGAGGCTGCGCCCGCGCCGCTCCCGCCTTAGCCCGGCTAATCGAGTCGCGCTTCGGCGGCAGACGCTTAGCCCGCCTCCTTTCACGTTCCCGACCAATCAGTGCTCGCGCGTGTCCCATCCTTCTCTTGCCCGGACCCCGCCCCTCGCCCCCTCGGATAAAATGAACCAATAGAAATCCGGGTTCATATCGGAGTCGCGTGGGAATGGCGAATGGAGAGGCGCGATGCAGATAAACGAGTGTGATTGAAGCCCACTTAACTTGAGGGCACAGTGGTGGGCCTTGGAGTCGGTCGGCCCCGCCTGGGAAAGGCGGAAGGGCCGTTGCTCTCGGCGGGGAGATGGGCGGCGGCGGCGGCGGCGGCGGCGGCGGGAGGAGGAGGAGGAGGAGGAGGGGAAGCGATAAATGTTCACGAGCCCCATCTTTCTTTCTTTCTTTGCATCAGGGCGTTGCACGCTATAACATTATGGGCGTACATGCCATGTAGGTAAACCAAATTAAAATAGTTACTTGTCACCAAAATTGGGCTACTTCAATAAGGTTATCTCAGCCATTTGTTGACCCTTCTTTTTGTACGGGAGCAGCGGGCATACATTGCACGTACATTGATTGCTGGATGGATTAGATTTCTCCACAGCCAGAGAAAATGTGCCCTCTGTCCAGGTACTTGGTTGTTCCTTAATCTTCCTACTTCAATTTGAAGCCTGTTAAGTGACTTACTTCTAGATAGTCCAGCTGGAGTCTCGTCCTGGTGGAAGACGCTCTTCAGCATTCAGCCGTTTGGCAAGGCGTGTTGTTTTCCCTCTCAGACTACTCAGACTTGCCTCTTCATACCCCTTCATGGATTGCAGTCAGAGCTATAGTTTTTCCATTAGTCATGTATGGAAGTGAGAGCTGCACCATAAAGAAGGCTGACCGCTGAAAAATTGATGCTTTTGAATTGTGGTGCTGGAGGAGAGTCCCCTGGACTGCAGGGAGAACAAACCTATCCATTTCGAAAGAAATCAACCCTGATTGCTCACTGGAAAGACAGATCCTGAAACCGAGGCTCCAATACTCTGACCATCTCATGAGAAGACTCCCTGGAAAAGACCCTGATGTTGGGAAAGTGTGAAAGCAAAAGGAGAAGAGGACGACATGGTTGGACAGTGTCATCAAAGTTACCAATATGGATGTGATCAGACTCCGGTAGGCAGCTGAAGACAGGAGGGCCTGGTGTGCTCTGGTTCATGGGGTCGCAAAGAGTCGGCCATGACTAAACAACAACAACTTCTGGTTTAGTATTTAGAGCTTGAGAGGTGTGCAGAAATTTTCCTCGATTTTAGCCATCGTCTAAGAGGTTGAGGTTCATGAAGTGGATGGACAGGTTAGCTACTATATTATCTTATTTCATTCATTGTTAGCTAACACCTCTGGATGTACTTCTAGAGAGACAATGACAGCCAAATAATAGACTTTTTCAATGGGGTTACGTTTCAAGCAGCCCGTAATAATCCTGCATCTTTGGGAGAAGGGAGGGGGTATAAATATTGAAACGAAATGGCCTGAATTCAGTTTGGTGCTGGTGCCAGGTGAACAGGTGGCTCTCCTGGTATGTACAGTGCAGATGTCTGCACACACACGTGCACGCATGCACACACATGCACACAAACATCTGATCATGGCTCACACATAACTTGGAGTAAGCTACCTCCTACTCTGAACTGTGGTTTGCTGTTTGCTGTCAAGTTGTTTTCTACTTAGAGTGACATTATGAATAAGGGAAAGCCAAAAGATCCTGTCGCTAAGAGTCCTGCTTCATCTTGCCTCCCTTAAATTAATCCCAAGAGATTAAACAAAGCCAAACCTCATCACGGTAGCATTTGGTGACCGTTGAGGCATGAGAATTTTTTAGGCCTGTCCCGCAGTTTTTAAGGACCCACCAGTTACTTCTTTAGCATGGTTATGAGAGGTAGGACAGCATAAGCCATTTTTATTCTGCAAGACCTGTGTTGACTCCATGACAGAGTGTGATGTCAATGAAAAACCAAAAACATGCTTCTAGTCCCTTAGAAGCCATCAGCTGTGCCTCTTGTGTCTTGGGGTCTGCCACATTTCTCATTTTTATTTTCTAAAAAACTTAATCCAGTTCGGGTTTTGAGAACAACTTCAGTAGATCCCATCTCTGTTTCTCTAACCGCCCTCCCCCCCAGGATAGGGTGGACTGTGTGCCATTTGGATGGGAGGAGGAGAATGCTTTCCTGTTTCATATGATGCTGGCCACCTTGTATTTTCTCTTCACACGGGCAAAAGGGCCCAGCGCGTTTTTGAAAACAAAGTCCCAAAGGACAAGGATCCAGGAGTTGTGGTAAGGAAGGGTGTTGTAATACTCAGAGGCAATCTTCTTCACCTGGAAGGAGAAAGATGCCACAGTAAAGTCAGGTAAAACAGCTGCATGAAAAAGAAGCTGCCATGCTGGTTATGGGCACTGACTCCAGTAAGTCTCTGATGGATCAGACGGGGACCATTCTGGTATGCATGAGTGGTGGGGGAGGAATGTGGTACCTTGAAATAGTAACCCAGTCATTGCTAAACTGTGCACCTTTATGAATTAGTGCTCTGGCATGTCCACGGACAGAAGTGTCATGATAGGCCTTTTGTATTAGTAGTTTCTTAACTGGTCAGAGAACAGTACACGTATCCAATATGCTAAAGTAAATGTGTTCCCTGGATGCCTTTATTTTACCAGTCCTATGCCCCCAGTGAGTTCTCCAGAGTCCTAGTCTATCATTCTATTATTTATTTATTTAAAATACTTTTACCCCACCTTTCTCCTTAAAAGGCCCCAAAGTGGCCTGCAACATACTTTTGACAATATTTAAAAGCAAAAAAAAAAAGGACAGTAAATATACAAATATTTAAAAATAATTAAACAAGTATATTAAAACAGTTAGTAAGATCAATACTAAAAACATGCTATCTACTATGCCACACTGGAAGTCCATCTGTGTTAATAGCTGTGCAGCGAGGAAAGCAGAAAGGGGAGGGGGCAGGTGTCCACCAAGAACAAGCAAAGGTCTTCTGGAATTTTAGAAACTAACCTGTTTTACTTGCATTAAGAGTGGATTTCTCCAGATGGGCAATATAAAAATTAAATAATCAATAAATTAAGCTTTTGGGGACTGCAGCCCACACTTGCGTCCCTCTTTAGTCCTTCAGGTGCCACAGGACTCTTTCGTTTCTTTGGGCAAGATTGCAGTGAGCTGTTAGGGCCAGAACCTAACACTAGATTTCCATTTAAAGGGGGGCTGTGCTGGCCAGCAAGAAATGTTATCCAGTTGGCCTTAGTTGACTCTCTAAAGAAATGCGCCACCTAAAATATAATTGAAAATATAATTGCCAACTTTACTTGTACAAGAGCTGTAATTATTACTGTATTTTTTCCTTCTACTTCCTGTTGTAGGGCATAGAAGAAATGTGTCAATTGCATCAAAAGACCTGTCTTTTCAGAAATGGACATCAAGGTGCAATCTAATAGCAGCATAACTGCCATTGATTCAACAATCCTTCATTTTCCATTTTGGACTTAATCTACTTGCAAACCTCATGGCTAAAATCTGCAGCAAAATTTTGCAACGATCATGCTTCTTCCCTCCCCCTGCCATATTTTGTTACCACTGAGGCTGATGACAAGTTCTCCAGAACTCAAGCATTTGCACACTACTATGGAATTTTGTCCACAGGGCAGGTGGCACTCACCTGTGGTAGCTTACTTCCAGGAATGCTGGGGAAATCATGATGTTCCATGTGGTAGCCCACGTTGAAGGTGATCCAGTTCAAAGGCCCATAGTAGGAGACGGTATCATGTCCTTTGGCATACATGTAGTGTTCTGCGATAAAGTGGCCTGAGATGGGGTGAAGGCCCATGGCCAAGATGGACCCAGCGACCATGTAGAGCACAGGCTTGAGTCCCCAGAAGCTATAGATGAGAAGATCGTAGGCCAGCTGGATGGCAACGTTGATGAATTCCATTTGGGAGAAAGGCTTGGGATTGACGTGGAGCGGCCGCAAGACGTAAAAGACTGGCTGCAAAAAGAGCCAGATCATCTTTCGCAGGGGGGAGTTGAAGAATCGACCCTCAAACTCAGTGGGGACATCGACATCCAGCCCATCCCCAGCCAGGTAGCGGTGGTGGTCAATGTGGTATTTCTTGAAGGAGGTGGCATAGGGAACTCCAATGGGCAGGTTGGCAAACATACTGAAGAAGCGGTTCCACTTGGCCATTTTGTTGCCAAAGGCCACATTGTGGGAGATGTCATGGATGGCCAGGGTCATAGAATGGTTGAGGCATCCCCCAAAGACATAGGCCCAGAAAAAGACCCACTTCCAAGGCAGCTCTTTCACCAGGTAGCAGGCTATCATCTGTATAAGGACCATGAGGGTCACCACCCACTTCAAGTTCGGATCAGGGCCCATCAATTTCTTTATCTCTGGATATTTTGCTAGGTGGCAGAAAGAAACAGGAAATTAATTGACATTAGAGTTATTGCTTGGTGGGGCAGTGAAAGTGGCCCCAAGGGTCGGACAAGAGATTTACAATGATACATTTGCTTATACAGGAACAATCTCACTGAATATATGGGCTATACATCTAAGTAAATGTGTGGAAGTGCTCTGAGAGCTATTTCTGGTTCATCAAGGCTCAAGACTGGCTGTCTCAAGAAAAGAAACCAGCTCCATCCATTCATACATGATTCTGCTGATTTTTTGGCTATTACCACATGTATAACAGCCCTTTTTGTGGTGGACAACTGGGTGGAAAAAAGGTTTTACTCATTTGTTGTTATACTAGAATTTAGGCTTAGGATCAAAACAATTAGAATAGTAGAAGACTCAGGCTAGAGAAGAGGAAGTCCTTCTTCATGTTACACATAAGAATCAAGCTGTAAGATTCCAATATGCGTGTTGGGGGGGGTATCTGCCTGCCAGCTTAGCCAGCCGTGCAGACAAATTAGCACAGAAGAGAACAATGCATGGTGCCCAGACAGGATGGTACCCTCCTTTTCCTCAATGTCAGACAGCAGACCTCTGAGCTCCAGCCACGCTGCCCTACTTGTAGGCTTCCTAGAGAGGCACCAGGTTGGCCCCTGTAGGAACGGCCTGCTGGAGGCGGCAGGTTTTGGCTTATTCCAGCTTCAGACCTCTTCTTACATTCTTTACCACTCCTGCTGGTAAAGAATGTAAGAAGAGAGTGGATGGAGAATCCCAACAGAAAATGCATAAAACTTTACCAGTGCTCTCACTTGCTTAAACTCTTAGTGAATCCAGTTGCTAAAGCAATTATTGTTGGTTGAAATGTCTGATAGGACAGGGTCAAGGTAGGCAATCTCCTGCCTTGTGTGGCCTACATTTGTCTTGTGACTAAGATACTTTTCAACAGACAAAGTGACCATCAATGTGATGCCACCCCCTCCTACATCTTTTCAACCCCAATTTTTCCAGAAAAACCTTGGCACGGTCCCTTAGTTCCAACACCCCCATTTCCCATTCCCTTTTCTTTCTGGGTCAGGTGTCAGACCGCAGTCCTGTAGTGGCAGAGTCCTGTCTGCTTGTACTCTGGGAAGTGCCGCACACAAGGAGAGCAATACATACATTGAAGGATATGTACTGATCGAGTTCTCTTAAGAAACAAGGCTTGACTCATCTGAGTTCTGTGCATTCTTAGCTTTAAAAAAAACACTGAATGAAGCCGAGTCCACTTTGTACCTTACGATTAGAAACAACCCTTGCGATCAAAGCAGTAGGTGGCCATTTGACAAAGGTGCTCACCAGGAAGCTTCTTTACCTTAGGATACCTTAATTGGGTGGTTGCTTCTTCCTTGACTAATTATTTCATTAAATCAGGACTTCTGCATTACTTTCTCTTCTTATAATGCCTCTCTGATTCTGAACATTTCCCTGAAACTTCAGTCCAGTAAAACAGTCTTCCCATTCAGCCCTGAGCTGCTAACCCAGTTACAGCATCTAAAAAGGTTGTGGGCAGAACCAGCCCATTACAAACTCACCCAGAATCTCCTTCCTTCTGTTGCTGTGGGGCTGCTCTGTGTAGAGCCATTCAAAGTCATCTCGGCTCCCTGCGTTCCCCATGGAAAGCTCTCTGAGCTGGACCCCAGGTTGTGTGCTCTTTTGGCGTGCCACTCTGCTAATGATCCTTTCAGCTGCCCTCTGTCACTAGGTTCTCTCTTTCTCAGAAATACCCTCATGGAGAGATTCGATGCCCTCCCACCTGCTGCTATGCAAAAGCACCTGCTCAACCTGTTTGTCTTCCTTGCAAAGGGTCAAATTTTCAATGGTGTGTGAAACAAACAGTTCTATGTACATGTTTCTGAAGGTGAACTCCTGCACTACAAGTTGTTCACATGGCCCACTCAGCCATTTCTTTGACCAGGAAATGAGATGATTCCATCAAGCTGTTTAGTAAATTTACTTCAGGCAGTTTGGAGTAAAAGCATCACACCTTACTCTTCTTCATCCCACTTCACAGCAGGAACCCTAAGGCTGAAAGACTGCCTCGGGAATGCAGGCTGCATCAAGGCAAAGAGAAATGGGGAAAACGGTCTTGCATTTGCAGAATAAGATGGGTAACAAGAAGTCCTTAGAAGTAACTTATTACAACCAACTTACCTATAATTAATTCCTTTCTGTTAACAATGAAAGAAAGACTATATTACAGTGTGGTCACTTTATAGCTAAGGATGACAAAAGGCTTCCAATGTTATCTTCCCAACAGAAACAAATGGTGGAGACTGGGGGCAGAGTTGCTGTCCAGGAAAGCTCCATATAATCCATCTTGCTGTTGCCAAAGTCAGACCACTTTACTGAAATAAATGGGGCTAATGGATGCTTCCTTGTGCAAGCTCAGAAAATGTTGCATCATTCATAGAGCAAGTGGAGTAGACAAAGAGGATTCTCCTCTGTGGCTTAAAAACAAGCAAACAAACCCTACTTTATGACATGTAATAAAGGAAGTATTTCTAGTTCCTTCTGATATTATGTCTGGGGCAAACCAGATGAATGAGCAACTTCCCAACTGGTGCTGATGATCCATTAATCTTTATGGGAATACATCAAACAAACAAACAAAAAAAGCTAATTTCTACCAGTTCTGAAACTGTGGAAGCCTCTGCTGGAAAGCTCCCTTGTTTGGCTGTTTTAACCATGTATTGTTTTTTTTAAACAGCATGGAAATCCCAGAACAGAAAAAGTTTTGATTTAAGGTGAAGTTATATCCTAGAAACAGAACAAATAAGTACAAAATCCAGACCAACTGCCATACCCTCTCAAAACATGGGAGCACTGATGCACCTCACTTTCTACCACAAGCAAAAACAATGTGTCAGCTGGACTCTCTGATTCCCCTCAAGAGAAACACTTCCACTTACCAGGGACTATGCACATCAAATACCAATGACACTGCCTTCATTCATATATAGATCAATTGGAGCAGTTCAGGAAAGACTATACAATTCTGGATAGGATGCATTCTGAAGCTGCCGTTTGTGGATGCTAGCCTGCTCAAAATTTGTGTTTCGTTTCTGCAATTCCATGCCGCTAATGATGTATCCATTTTCAAAGATGAAGGGGTTGATCAGTGGCCCACATTTCCTTGTTTTTAAATAAATAACTGAAGCACACTGTGCCATTTCTTATTCATCCTATGGCCATCTTTTTTAAAAAATTCTACCCCCTCTATATTTATTTTCTATGTTGTGTGAGGGTACTTTGGGGGTCTTTTGTAACATTCAAATGTCTTTCAAAATAATGAAATGTAACTATTTTAGTTACTTTAAAACCCAACTACAGTATAATGAGTGCTGTAATTTGGGGGCCTAGTACTATAATTAGATTTTTTTTTTTTAAAAAAGTAACCTTCTACAATGTGGTAAAAGTAATCAAAATCATAGGCTACAAACAACAGAGGTTGGAACTGAAACTAAAGACAAAACAGGATTTCTTTTCTAGGGCTTTGTAAGAGTCTGGCAATCAGGAAACCTTCATTTCCAACTTGTGTGTTCATCTAGGAAACCACATTCCCTCCCACATCCCTTGCTGTCGTATCCTTATTGCCTACCAAGAATTACTGTACTGTAATGCTCTTTCGTTGCGGCTGAAAAGCTCCTCTTCGCGGCTTTCTTTAACGTGCTTAACGTCTTGCAATTTGATCTCTCGACTCGCTTACGGCTCTCCCTGGTGCTGATATTGTGGCCCACACTGTGCTTGCCTGGACGTGTCGCCTCGGCCCGGGGGAACCACTCGGGACCGCACCGTCGGAGCCTCGGGCATCCCGGAGGGGCCCCTCCCTCCCTCGGCCGGGAAAGGAACGACCCTCCGGTCAGCTGCCCTGCGCGTAACGCGTTCCTCGTGCCGTTGCCTCCAGATACGACGCCCCTCCCCGGAGGGGGACCAGAGGCCGCGGGGCCTCGAGAAGCGCGCGGTGGATGAGGGGCCCCAGGCGCGCAGGCTGGTGACGTTCAAAGCGAGGTAATGATGTCATAACCATGGGCTCCCGGCGGAGGAAGTCGGAGAAGCTTCGCGGCCTCCTCCTCTCCAGGGGCGCTCGTCCCTCTCCCGCCACCCTTCCAAGCCTGTCACGGCCCTCGGCGGCTTCCGTAGGTGGGGAGGGAGCGCGCCTCAGCGCTGGCGCCTGCGCACTTTGAGAGCGTGA